GGTTCAACTACATTTGAAAGTGTCAATCCTGAGACAGATGCGCCCGCGGCTGTCTATCAAGCTGGAAAAATGCTCTCGGAGAAGAAAATCTAGGAGCTTGCACACCAGAATCCCGACGTAGATGTCACGGTCGGTGAGTATTCAGTCCGCCAGTATCACGCTCACAGCTAACAAATTCTCGTTGATACTTAGTAATTACACCAGCCATTTTTGGCCCGTTGGTCAAAGGCTTCCCGCTTTCAAAGAATCGAGAGGATCTGGGAACCATCGATTTTGTTTACACCTTGATTACTGGTACCCACCCCCCATTTCCAATCGGACACATATCGTGACGTTGCCGAAGCTCTGGTTGAGAGTCTTGATACGCCACCTTTGGAAAACGGCAAAGACAAGCGCTTGATCATAATGAGCAAAGTCTTCACCTGGAAAGAACTTGCCCAGTTCTTGCACCAGAAACGACCAGAGTTGGCTTCCAGATTGCCGAATGAAGATGTTGTTTTGGGACCACAGACCAGTGCTCCGCTCGACATTGATCTGGCCAAGAAGGTTCTGGGATTGTCGACTCATATCTCATGGGACGAAACTGTACTGGCTACAATTGACGAGGGCCTTCAATGGGAGAACCTGAAACTGTAGGTATATGTAGATTTTTGTCATTGGAAGCATGTACCATTTCCAATCGAGTAGTAATTCAAGTGGATGACAAGGTGAAATGGACGTGATTTATCTATTGATGAAATCTGGCTTCTCAGTCCCAGTTCTTCACCTTCATAGTACCGTGCTCCATAAAGTTGATGTGCATCTAATCTCAATTCAGGGCTTTTTCTCGTGCAGATCTGACAAGAACTCACTTTGAATGCGTTCTAGATCCAGGAAGCAAGTTTTGAGACAACGAGGAAGATGAAAAAAAGTGTGGCGCCACTTACCCGAAGCATGTGTGGTTCATGACCAGCACCACGAGCTAGACATTCGTGCAGTGAACGTTCATAATACTGCCAGAAGATTAGTTCGAAGAACAGGTACCAGTAAAAGGAATAGGAACCTCGTTCAACATGTCTCGATAATCGGGATGAGCACACTTGGCTATTATCACAGGTGCTCGTTCGCGAGGAGAAAGCCCTCGAAGGTCTGCAAGACCCTGTTCGGTAACAATAACGTCCAAGTCGTGTTCTCAAAGCCCTTCAGTCAGAACTAGAGACAAAGTCATTCGGAAATTACCTGTTTGGTCGACATGTGAGCAAAAGGGAACAACACAGCTGATACCCGTCGGATCTGTCTTTGTGGGACGGCTGTATGAGAAGTCAGAGTGGATCTTGTACTCACAACTGTCCACGAACCTGGACGGAGTATGCATTATGGACAGTTTAGCGTTTCTCAAAAAGTCAGCGGAGCCGCCGAGACCATTTAACATTCTAACAAGATCAGATGGAACTACGACGGAGCTGGAGACACACCTTGAACCAAGAGCATTGGTCGAGTTGGCATGAGCGTACTAGAATGGTCATCAAGGATTCTTTTTACAGCCAATGAAGGACTTACGATATCAACTTCGAGAGGTGTGTTCATGGCGATGACTCCCAGACGACGAATAAGCTCGGGAGAATTAGCCACCTGCTGGGAGCGCAAAAGCAATCTATCTTTATATCTGGCCCAATCTGGAGACAAAGAATCACGAATGGCTCCAAGGTCCGGGTACCGGGGAGCTTACTCGCATAAAAATGATCAAATCTAAGTGCAATGTAAATCAAAATGTCTTTCGAGGAGCAGCGACATACCCTTCTGGACTGAATTTAATCGAAGTGGCGGTTGCAAAGTCGAGCTTTCCAGAGTCGAAGAATTGGATAAAAGTGTCTGAAGCGGAGAATTTTTGCTCAGAAGCATGGTCGCCAAGTCATTGCTGTCAATTACTTACCTTGTAGAACTTCGGTCCAAACTTGGACCTTGTCAAAAGGCCCTTCGGCCAGTCCTCCGATGATGGAATTGGCGACGTTTCCTATACCGGATTGCAGAGGTAAAAGTGACCTGGGGAGACGACCAGCGCTGACTTCGTTGGAGAAGAACTCGATCAAGTGGCCTGCGATGGCTTTGCTCTCTGCGGATTCCGGCGCATTTGAACCTGTATTATCGGGGCGGTCCGACTCGACAATGGCGACGACACGATCAGTGTCAATGGGTATCGATGTCATCCCTATACGGTCACAAGGGTGAGTTACAAGCTGTTCCAAATCAGCTAAGCAAATATGTCAAGCAAATGGAACTTGCATATGGCTGACGGTTCGGTGGAACAAACGAATGGTTTATGTCGTGAAGGCCTTCCAGATTGGGGATCCTTGTATTCACTTCGATGATGATCTTTTCTGCAGACTGTAGAATCTCGGGTGTAGCACCAACAGAGGCACCTGGAACTATAGAGCCATCCTCTGTTATTGCTGTCGCCTCCACGATGGCCCAGTTAAGATGTTTTCCTGGTTCCCCGTGTTTCTTGCGTAGACTATAGTAGCCATATGTCAGGTCCTGAGGGAACACTGAACTTGATGTTATAACGACAGCACTAGGAAAGAACTGAATCGACTGACTGGATAGATGCTTGTCCGCAAATTCGATACGTCCTTCATTGATGCCTTTCGAGATCTCTTTTCCGACCTGATGCGGATAGCGATGAGCGATCCTGCAGTGGTGATCAGCCCGGAAGTAACTCGGCATTCAATTTCGCCACCAACATGTCCAGTTTCGCCCATCTTTCTTCCACCTCTGGGCCGACCTAGAGGTTTAGTCAACATAGTTGAAAAAGGCACTTTATTAGAGCATACCGAGGCACCAACAAACAAATTGAACTTCTTCTTCGTGTTTGGATCAGCTTGCAAGTTGTTGGATTCAATGTGGTCCGCGATGGCCTAAGCAAACTTTGAGCAACAGGGACTGCCCTACGAGACAATTGACATACTGTCGGTACAGATTTTGGGTAACCTTGGCTCTGGTCAACAAAACAACCGTTGCTAAAGCGCATGGGAACATACCAACGCCAGTAAAGCCAGACCAGCCGATCTACAAAGACATGACTATCGAACCTCGGACGCTAGATCCTCGAAACTCACATAGTCGTCGTTCTACGCGATATGATGTGAGTAACCATTGGAGCATTACTTGGTTTGTGGTATTCACCTTGAACAAGGGTGCTAGTGCTGCAGGATCAGCCAGCCTTTTGAGAAGAGCAGGTCGACGAACGCGCTCGCGCAATGCTGCAGAAGCAGCGAGATTGGTTGAAAGGGTACGAACGGAGGGCCGCATGATGAAAGAAGACAACCAAGCTTTGGGCTATAATTGGCTATAAGTAGCTCGCCAAGAGGTCTAGACTCGGGGCTCGGAGCGGTAGATCCTCGGCAGCCGGCATTCTTGCCGGGATTTAGATGATCCATCGGCACACCGACAGCTCGCATTTCATCCATACAATAATATACATGAGAATCCATTCATTCAGAGTCCTTGATTCACGAAAACCGCTACCTCTTCCTTGAGTTTCTTGACCAGATCACTCATTGTATGCTTCGGTTTCCATCCCAGAGAAAGAGAATGGTTGCAAACACAACGACATTCGTTGGAGTAATAGTATGGCTTTGATGATCAGCACCCCAAGTTGTGGATCGGATATTAAAAGACTCACTCCGATATTGGAGAGATACTCGTCGATTTCAGCTGGCGTAAATGAGGTAGGCTCGACGGATTTTGCTCGTCCCAGATCCACCATGGCTTCTGCGATGGCTTGGCCGACTTTGTAGAAGTTGCACTCTACGCTCATGCCAAAGTAGTAGCCATTGCGCCCGTGGTCTACCGAGTCCAAGTCGGTTTGAAGCTTGTCAAACAGTACGAGGTAAATCTCGGCCACTGACAAATCAAGTCAATGATCACTTGTCAACTCTTGAACTCACCCTCGTGGATTTCAACGTAGGGCCAAAGTCCCTGACCAGCGTCAACCATACCCCCTTGGCCGCGACTCAAAGCAGCCTTGATAAGTGTAGGGATTTGCACGGAATGTGAGTTTGCGATTCCTTCGTCGTAGAGCAGACCTTGGGCAACGCCATAAACGATCGTCGGGCTGATGATATAACAGTTGACATATCCTGGCAGACGGCTCAAATGTGGCAAACTTTCGAGGTCACTTTCAGTACGTACCATCTTTATCGCCTTGAATAATAATGACCTCGACAGGTCGGTGTGGCTTTGTCAATGGAATTTTTTCCAATTGATCAGCGTTCGTATCGTCGAACACGATTCCGGTGCCCTCTTTTTCAGCATATGTCCCAGCACCAGACTATTGAGAATAAGTCTTGAGATTTGAAAGAACAAAGACTCGATTACCGTATGAATAAAGATGGATTTCTTTCCGGTTGTCTCGAATCTCTTTTTGAGACCCCGAAGAGTGGCCTCTGCTCTATATGATGAGGTGAGAAACGGATCATTGGTAAAACAGTGCTTTACCCAGGGACATCATCACAGTCCGCCTCGACAAGTATTGGTTTACGAGTCTGTTATCAAGCAGGCCACGTACCATTGCAAAAACAACATCCGCAAGAGATGCAAGATTCTCGACCAGGGCAAGATCTTTGAGCGACCCAACGATTGCGTTGACGCCATATTTCTGGAGTTTGTCGGCCTTTTCGGATGAGCGGAGGAGGGCAGTGACATTCATGGACGAAAAGTACGGACTTGAAAGGAAGCGCTGGAGAACTGCACCACCGATATATCCTGTCAAGTCTTGTTAGCAGACATCTCCAGTCAAGGTTTCCCTACCAGTGACGCCGGTCATGAAAACATCGATTTTGTTGGAGGACATTGTTGGTAGAGAGTGCCAGGGAAGCTTGAGAGCATCAGCTTAAAAGCCTTTCTGATGGAGTGCCATGCGTAGAATTCCATGTCTGACTAGGAGATAGGGATTAGCACTCTGCCATGACAGCTTCTAAGATCTCGCAAGCTCAAGGGAATTCGGAGATAATTCGCCAATCGCCCCCGTTGTCTAATGGTTATGACGTCAGACTTCTATTCACGGAGAATCTGGAGGTTCCGGGATCGACTCCCGGCGGGGGTTTCTTTTTGGGACACTCTCACGTTACTGTACCATCATTTTTCTTCCAGCGAGCCCCTCATTCTTGCCTCGCCGCGCGATTCCATCCTCAATGTTCGGTTCACCAGTCTCGACCCTCACATCTATCAGCTTTGAGCCTCTCTCACCAAGTGCATCACCGAGAACATCACCGAATTCTCAAAAAAAAAATACAAGAGCTCGCTGTGGCGCAGCGTCTTCTTCACAGGGGTATCGACATCCGTGGGAAGACCGATCACATGATCGGTTACTCCTGATCGACCTGCCCGCCTCGAGGTTCGCGCCTGCCGTTCGACCAAGTTGGACAGTCTTCATCCTATGGAGCGATGGAAATAATCCTTTCATCTTTTCTCCTCAGCATATGTCTCAGACTTGCGCTGCTAGACGTTCAGCAACTCCAAATCCGAGCAATTCTCGTTGGTATCTGGGAAGGCCTATGCCTTCACCATGTCTTACCCAGAGCTCCAGGGCCTGACCCATTTCTTGCGCTGGCATTGCGCCTTTTCCTTGACTTTCTGTCCGGTCAGACGTCGGTGGCTATCATGATCACTGTGCTGTGGTCGGCGCTCAGCATCCTGATCGTCGCTGCGGCCAGCAATGGATACGATACGCGTCGTGAAGCAGAGAGCCAGAGATCCAGTCGACCTCGCGCTCGTAGGTCTCGTCATATTGACTCAGTCACGGTCAGACACAGCAGCGCATCTCAGGTTCCTCTTCCAGCTCTTTTCTCTCCCCAAAATTCAGCAACGAGACCACCTTCACCGCCAAGTATTTTCTTGGAGGAATCACCTAGCTCATTGCCAAACCCTCTACCAACCCCTCCATTGACTTATGACGACCTCAGCAATGACCCTCACGACTTTGTCATCGTATCGTCAACGGATGAGACCTCGACTTCACGTCTGGCCACTCCTCGTGCCATGATACAACGTCTTTCGCCAGTCCCAGAAGAATCCTTAGCCAGCACCCCTGCTTTGGAGCAATCCGCCATGATGGCTGAAGATATCACGCCAGAATTTCTTTTTCAACCACCAAACCACATTCTATTACTACGCCACGAAAGTTCGCCTCTTCCGTCTCTTGCTTCATCTTCTCCGCAAGCTCCGAATACCTGGCTGCTGTCCAGCGAAGCTCAACAGCCTCACAGTCCGGTTACCGATCCAGATCCCCTCCAAACGCCTCGAGGTTCTGAAGCCGAGCTTGACTTGGGCGACAGCGATCATGACGAGCTACAGACACCTCTTGCGCTAACTCGACCACTATCTCCACTTCATCTTCGCTCATTACCAGAAGGCCCAGACCTTTTTTCTCAAGGCCAATCCGTACCCGACGATGCCAGCGAAGCAGGAGATCTTCTCCATGATATCCAGCGCATTCTGCAAGCCGAAATCGACAACTTTGTGCCCATTCCAGTCCCTGGGCCGCATGTCACTGCAGCCCAGGAGCTTGCAGAACCGGTGATTCCGTCGATACTTTCATCGCCCAGTATAGCAGAGAGCGTCATCACCAATGCAGGCGCTCTTGCCATCCAGTCCAAAGCTGAGCAACTTCGAAGAGAGGCTTGGGATGCAGATTTAGAGCTGCAGAGACTGCTTGCAGCGTTTGATTTGGCTCAGCGAAAGAATCACACGAAGGATGTCTTTTTGCTGAGGGGTGATATCGCTGATTTGAAGGAGAAGATTGCGAAATTGCACCGACGCGCTGAAAGACGATATTTACATGGTGAGCGCGTCCATTTCGTTGTGTAAGGTTGTATGTATGCTCATGTATTACAGCGGCCAACATAGCTCGGGCTAAAAAGAAACGACCACCTCTGCGAACCATTGATGTTCATGGCCTGCTTATTCCTGAAGCTATTCGTGTCGTCGAACAAGAATTCCGCCAAGCCCTCAGGAATGATGAGACTCAACTAAGGGTTATCGTTGGGAAGGGCAATCATTCTAAAGGCGGAGTAGCAAAATTGAAGCCAGCTATTGTTGAATATATGACTGGGTATGCCAAATTCTCTCAAGGGACATTATATAGACTAACAAGTCATGCAGGCAAAATTTTACCTGTACGCTGGAACCCAATAATACTGGGGTTGTTGTTCTCAGCTGTCCACCGTAGCATCAACTATCGTCAATCTGTATCGATATTCAATACCATGTACAATATTTACAACTTGTTTCGACCCCTCCTCTACGGCAGGATATAGCCACCGAGCTTGGCATGAATCATCTTGTCGGCGATTGCTGGCGTAAATTTTGCGTGTAATTCGTCCTGGCAGCGTTTCCGGCAAGTGTCCAGGGCTGGAAAAACATTCAGTTCTAGTGTACTCGATTTTATGCATTGGCACTTACGGCTTAAGTGAGTGCCAGTCGGGGCAAGCGAATTGAGAGTAGTCCTAGTGCAATCGTCGTAGCATTTTTCCTAGGAGAGATTGTTGAACAAGGAAATAGATAGCGAGCAATTAACATACATAGGCTGCCTGATCTTGTGGGGTGTTGGATGTTCTTTTTGGGGCGCTGCTTTTTGGGGCGCGAGATTCAAGGGCCACATCTTCTTGGTCGAAGCTATGGGCTTGTCATTGGTACGAGGACGGATTTTTAAATAAAATGCTCGCACATGGGGGCAGCCACGACCGCATTGGCCAACAGTAATGCCAAAAGAGGAGCGTAGATCTTGAATTGCATAATGGGGTTTTGAAACTTGTTGACAAGGACGATGTGGTGGCCAGCACTGGAGAAAAACCTTCCAGGGGCTCGGCCTTTTATACCAATAATGTAGGCTTTATAGTCGGTCCGTGCGCACCGATAGTGACAGATTTGATCTCGGCTACGCCCATATATTGCATCAAAAAAAAAAAACCTCAATATCAGGCGACAAGATCTCTCAAACAGGAACAGTTGTCAGGCTGCGAAGCCAGGACCCCGAAAACCCGGCCAGGGGTATGGTGACAAAATTTTCGGAAATCGGGTTTTTTGTCCGGACCCAAATAAGGAAATGGTTGTCTGGACTTTGCCTCAGAGCCCATGAAGTTCAGTTTTTTGTCCGGATGAATACATCATACCTATATATGGACATTTCCTCTGGCGCTACGCTATTCTTATTACCACGTGAGGCCGAGATGCACATGGCGTGCCGGCCGGAAAATCAGGGTATTTTACACAAATCTGGACTCAATATCGAACAAAAAGCTGATGCTGGTAAATTTTTCTCATATTTTGCGTACTGGATGGGCCGCGACTGTTTTTGTCCGGTCCAGGCCTCAAACCCCGCCAAGAAGCATGATATTTGTCCGGATAAAATCGTGAGAGAAACTTTCAAAAAAGCGTTTTTGTCGGGCTTGTCATGGGAGATTTTCAAAAATTTCCCATCTGTCCGGTCGAGGCCGGTCGAGGCTTGTATGCTACTTGTAAGCGGGTTTTCGGGGGTCCTGCGAAGCCCCTAGAAAGACGCGGCGGCCGCGATCGGCTAGGACCGATGTTCGAAAGCTGTCCAAAAATGTCGAATGAGTATAAGAATGAGGTCGATAAAAAGATCCTATGTAACAGTGAACACAGATAGAGCATTGGGGACCAGGAGGAGCAGGGATATTGGGGTACGAACTATCCAGAAACTTGAGCCGTCGGCCGCCGCATGTTCCGACAAATCAGAGGAAACGCATGGCGGCCGGCAAAAAGCCAGGCAAAAAGATCAGAAGGGGTTCACTAGTGGTAAGGACTCGCTTGAAAACAGCAAGCTGAATTGACCTGTGTGAACTAGTAATAATTCCTGGCTCAGATTGACCTTCCTGTTCTGGCACTGATCCACCAGGAAATGTCGATGAGGGCCTGCGACAATAAATCGTTTGATAGCATTGTGAGGGATAAACAAGCCGAGCAAATCGTCCACGGTCCTCGTCGAGAAAGGCCAAAGCACCCCATCACTATAAAGCCTGGCACTCCAGAACCAAAACAACAATTTTCGCCGTTACCCAGAGCTTGTCCTTTGCTCGAACCTCAATATTCTCGGAAGATGTCTTCTGCGCAAGTTTGACACGATCACGGGTCCCAGGACGAGTAATTTAAAGAAGAATAATGCAGCTGCGCGACGCGAGCCCTGGAGCCAACATTAGCGAGAATCTTCATGGTTGAAAAACACGCACCTTGTCAGCCATACGTTTGAAGCTCATGACTTTTTCTTCAACATCGTCACCATCGACAGGCTTCGACTCCTTTCTAATGATACCCAGAACCTTAACAGTATCTTTTCCATCCGAATTCGCAATCTCGACCTCTCGCTCCGTCTCCTGCTCTGCACTTTGAGTCTGTGTATTGGGCCTTGCGTCGAACATGGCAATAGGGCAAGTCGCATCGGCATAAGTCTTGTCTGCCTCGGGGCCTAGCGCTGGAGTAGACAGTCGACTAAGCTCAGACAAAGGAACTGATTTTCCTCGACCATCAAAGTCGGATACATCGAGCTGGGAATCCTCGTATGTCTCCGATTGGTCTGGCAGATCCAATCCGCCGTTGGTACCAAGGATATCGCTGCCTATGGCACTGGGAGTCATGCTTCCTGCTCGTCTAGCTTGTTCGACTATCTCGTCCAACACCAACACTACCATCGACACTAATGCCGTCTCCTTGACCCTAGTCGATACCCAGGTCGATATCCGCGTCAAAATCCTGGGAGCCAATGCCAGAGGCGTCAAAGTCGTGCACGGCTTGAAGAGTAATGTCAGCGACGTTCGCTTGATGGTTTCCCTGTCGCGGTGATGCAGCGTCTCCCATATCCACGTCCCTATAGATTGGCATTGAACGATTATCACGCTGTAAATTGGGTTCCAAATACTGACCAGTCCATGTCTGGAATAAGCGCGTTGATATCGACACCTCCTGCACCTTGCAGGGTAATGGCATTCTTGTTTGCAACAAGCTGATCCTCGGTCATGTCTCCAACAACTGGACGAAACGCCTTGACGCGAGTTAGAGAAGAATGAAAATAAGGACCAATGCAGACTC